TTTATTTTTATGTTTTAAATATATTATATATAAATTATATTATTTATATAACCTTTGATAGTATAATGAGTCTAGAATCTAAAAATGAAAATCTGATATATAAGATTAAGTATTACAAAATAAAAAACAATGAATTAAAACCCAGGTACTAATAAGGAAATTGTGTGTGTATAATAGAGTATGAAAAGTTTAGCAAAGCTTAGAGTTAATATGACCTATTATAAAGTAGATAGCTCATTGTTAACTAAAAAAGCATATATATAGCCTATCAATATACAGTAAATTGAAAAACAGTATTAAATATACTAAGACAGCTCTTATTTAGAATAGAAACAATTGTTGGTATTATATAAAAGAAACAATATATAAATAGAAAAAAAATATATTTTTTGTCAAGTCAATCTTTATATTTCTATTCTTTTTAAGTATTTCTTTATAAAAGATATTTTCTTTTTTTAGTATAGTTGTATATATTTATTGTTAGTTGTTTAAATTATACAAGATACTACTATATGAATTAGCAATGAACTTGTTAGTTTAGTCCACAATAATAGATTGTTGTGAGTATCAACCTAAATTATATATAAAAATAATAATTGATAATAATTATACTTTTCTTATAATAAGACTTACAAATAATAACTTGCTTCAATAAAAAGTCTTGAAATAGCAAAGAAATAAGAATATAAAAATTTTTTGACTTTTTTTAAAATATTCTTTATATTTTATTTAGTTTTAATTATTTAAGTAATATTATTTATATAAATAATAATCCTATATTTAAAAGAGCTTTTTTAAAATCTTTAATTACTAAAAGTTGAGTATTTATTCTTTTTCTATAGTATATCCATAGTTAGTATTGTTTTATCAATGAATTATAAAGATTTATGAAAAAAGAAAAAATGTTTTTTTTATTTATATTATTCTCTATTATAATAGAATTTTATATTCTTGAATAATTTAATAAGGAGCTGTCTAATTATAGATATAATTTGAATTTGTTTTATTGCTTTCTCTAAAATATTTAGATTAATTATGCTATAGATTAATAAAAAGAGTTTTATTAAAAAATAGATTTAATTTAGACCTGTGGGTCAATAGAACAGTGGTAGTGCTCCCAGGTTACAATCACAAGGTCCGTAGTTCAATACTACTTAAGAACTAATAATCAAAAATACCCTTCTAATCAGGTTTACCAGTTATCCTGTGAAAGTCATATCCAATTATCTAGATCCTGTTAAAATTAATTAGGCTGCATGAAGATAGGACCTCTGGTCTTTCTGATGATTGCGGGCTGAAAACAGGTTGAAGCAGAAAAGATTGCATAAGGAAAGACTTCTGGTCTAACTCCCATAAAAGCCCACAACCCCCTCTGGCATAGTAGACTCTATAGCACAACCATCCTTTTAGCTCAGGATATCCCAATCTGGTGCTCCGCTTAAATGAAAATTAGTCAAATGGGGCTGATCCGATACTACAAGTGGTGACAAAGAAGGTACATACTCCCTTCCAAGATCTGAGTGAATAATATCTCTGGAAGTATTGGAGAGTGTATACATTCTGTCGGGTATAACCAACAGGTCTAGTTTAGTGTACAATTAAAATAGTTATATGAGTTCCATACTAATTAGCCTAACTCATCGCCATTTATGACTGTGTATTAGTCATCCAGCCACTAGCTAGATGTGCCCACTTTCTCAGTAGTAGTAGGTCTAACTAGGATTGCCACGATAGGTTAGCATTAATTTGCATATGTAGAAATATTTGATGTAATGACTATGAAATTCGAATTGCCAAATAAAGTCTCACATCTAATACCAGTTGTGGTTTAAAAAAAAAAAAAAAAAAAAAAAATAGATTTAATCTTTTTTTTTTTTTTGTGGGCTCAGTCTCCAGTTGGTCTTTATTTAGCTTTTACTCAGATATTACATAGTCCTATCTATTTCAGAGCTAACTAGATATCAAAACTATACTAGCATGTATGTTGGAGTTACTAGAAAAGATACCTTCTGGTTCGGATCTCCAAAGGATCTTCATGGCCATTGCCTTTCTTTTGAAAAACTAACTTGCCTAGGCTGAGTTAGTGCCATCTTCCTCGAGTTTACATATAAAGAGAAAATTGAAGGTTTTTGTTTTCTTTCAGTTCAGACCAATGGTATATACTGGTCTTCTAGGATGGATGTTTGGGGCAGTCTTGCTCTATTTCTCTTTCACTCTTTGTAATTTTATAGGTGGTTTTCTATTTACTTACTACCTTACAATGTCATTTTCAGATTATCCTTATATAATGTTGCAGTTCTTCCACACACCCTAATAAAGTGGCCTTGGCTTTTTTCCTGCATATTCTTGCTCATGCTTGGACAAATCTGGTGATGGCTTTGGGAACTAAACTCCTGGTCATCAAAACAGTCCAGAGCTTTATTTCCTTAGATTTGATCTTTGTGGCCTATCTTTGGACCCAAGCTTTGCTTCATTTCTCTCTAGCTTGCAGGTATGTTATTATTGTTTCTATTATTTATATACCAAAATTTAACTCATTTGCTTCACACTCGTATATATGCATTTTATCTTTTATTAATATGTTATATCTTATGCACTTGTTGGAGATATATAAATCTCTTTTTTGGGTGTGGAGTTTGATCATAGTTGGTAGTTTCTATGCCCATGATTTCAGTCTAAAGGATCTCCGTTGGTGATCCTCTATGTCTATCTGCCCAGCTGTTATTTTCCTTAGCCTTAGTAAGTCTACTGTAGCATCCCAGTCCACTTCTTTGTTGAGATGAAGAAGGTTTTGGTTTCTTTCTAAGTCACACCATTCCTGTATTTATTCATTCCTGAAATGATTTTGTATTGCTTCCTTGCTATGGCAAGTCATCCACTGGCCCTTAAATTTTAGTTCAAGTGTATTTTTATTGAGTGATATAATATCCATCCTTGTTATTTGCTATTTTAATTTTGCTCTTTTGACTTCACTATCTACTTCGGAGTGTATCATGGTATTATTTTGTCTGATTTTCTCAACCTGAACATCTATGTTTTTCTTGTTGATAAGGTCCTTGATATAGGAAATAAGTTTCACGATTTTGCTCCTATATTTGACCATTTCTAGTGCTGTAGCTATCATTTGGCTATCCATATTCAATTTGATCCTTGCTCCAGATGGAAGGGAGATAAGTGCAGCCATAATGGAATTTAACTCAGTTTCATTCAGCATCATTCTGTGGAGAATCTTAAAGGATACAGTCTCAGTTCTTTTTCCTGTTTCAAGATTTTTGATTTGAAAGGCAATGATGTGGAATTTCCTGAAACAGCTAGCATTTGTTGTTACTTTAACTTTGACTCAACCTTCTATTTGCTACTGCAAATGACTAATCTTTGTTAGAGTCATACTGTTTTTGATCCAATCAAATCCCTCTCTTGAGCTGATTGATCTGAAGATATAGATATCTTTCAGCTCACTTATACTATTTTTTTTGCTCTGCTTAAACCTGGTCTTGATGCTTTGCAGAAATGCTAAAAGCTTGGTTACTTTGCTTTCGCCAAGATTCGAAATGACCTGTTTACTATGGCCTAGGATAGCTATCGTGTCTCTATTCAGGATTTTTATAACACAACTATCTATAATAACTGTTTTGTTGTGTTCGCACCCCTTGCAAGGTTTCACATATAGTAAGTGCAGATCTTGAACATAGTGTCTTATTGTTATTGTACATTCATCTCATATATATGCTTGTACAGGTGATTAAGCTATACAATTACACAGACTTTTTATATATAGTCAACAAGTAATTATATATGTATAAAATAAACCTATCTATATAGATAACTATAGCTATTCTATCTCTATATATAACTACTACCTATTTGGAAAGATGTACAATTCCTTCTTAATTTTTTCCAAAATAATTTTATTTATGGTAAGAGTAGTCTGGTTATCAGGCCATCAAATTTTCTTTATCCTGGATTTCTTAGTAAATTTCTAAGTCCTTCGAAGTGGTCCACAGATTTCTCCTCCCATCAAGGCCTCCCACTAGTAAAGTCTATGAAAGATGGCACAGCCACATACTTGAATTCTTGAACAGATACCTCAACTTGTAAGACAAGAGAACTAGGTTTTCTTTGGTTGATTTTACCATTACTTCTTTCAGTAGTATGCTATCAGTTCAATATCTATTCTTCTTATTACCTTATTCGGTAATGCAACCATATCAAGGGATAATCTTACTTGATTTCAGACATTTATCCTCATCATAATCCAATATAGAACCGGCTTGAAACACTTTACTTTGTAAGACAATCTATACTTGGAAACATCAGTTATTATACAGTTATGCCAATGGATACTGTTCACTACCTACTTATCAGAGGTTGCTTCCTGAAGGATTTGATCTCAGCTCTTGCGATGTGACCTATGGAGTGCTAACCATTGCATTATGGATTCATAGGTCATTAAAAAATAGATTTAATTTTATTAATTCTTTTATAAAATATTATATAATATTGTAAATAATATTTATGAGATTTATAAGAATTTCGTAATCACAGAAATCTTTAACTTCATATTTCCAAGTATCAATAATACAATTAATTACATTTCCTTCTTTTTTTTTTGTTTTAAATAAAAAATAAAGTAAAAAAAAAAAATATACTTATGTATTAACTAAATGTCCAATTTTACATGCATGCAATGCATAATAAAACATACTTAACAATGAATAGCATTACCAAAAAAATTAAACTTTGAATTAATGCTGATCATCACCGAATTCGATTATTGTTCTGACCTTTTGTGGAATATAGGCGCTACACGATGACATATCGTGATTTGGACCTTCCATTTTGATTATTGAAAAGATAACTCCCTATGAAGACCATTCTTGTTTCACTTAATAAGCTGTTTTTAAAGCCATTACTTCCAATTATTGTTCACAGTCACAATAGATAATGGTTAAAACACTATAAATCGGACTTCAGTCCTTCGAAAATTAACCAGAGATAAAATGATTTTCAAATCAAAACTTCCCGACATAGAAATCCCATCCGTCGGAGTCTATCAATATGCAACGAGCAATCCAAATAATGTTTCCGAAAGTAAAGTTATATTTATTGACGGAATAACGGATAAAAAGATAACTTTTGGTGAATTTAAAAGTGAAACTAAGAGCTTTGCCGCAGGCTTATGCGACAAAGTGGGATTTAAGCGGGGAGACGTTCTAGCGATTATTTCTCCTAACCAGGTGATAATTAAATAATATATGATAACACTCTCCTGTTAATTTCTTATTAATACGTCTTTTTACATTAAAGTTTGATTATCCTATAGTATTATTTGGTGCAATTGCTGCTGGTAAGCATTTCAAAAAAAAAAAAAAGTTTCGTAACTACATCTATTATTAATTTTCTCATGTTTCATAGGTGGCATAGTGACCCCCGTGAATCCAACATATAATGTTACTGAAGTATCATTTCAACTATCCAACTCTGGTGCTTCCGTTATAGTTTCACATCCTCTCGTTCTTCCTGTCGTCGTTAAAGCTGCCACCGAAGCTCAAATTCCTCATTCTAAGATATTCATATTCGGAGACGAGGAGATCAATGGATTCCAACCGTACAGGGCGTTATTTGTTGATCGAGAATTTGAGCCTGTAACGTACACGCCGGAAGAGTCGAAAAACACCATTGTATTCTTATGTTATAGTTCGGGCACTACGGGGAAAAGTAAAGGAGTTGAAACCACCCATACCAACATGGTCGCAAACGTATCACAGGTAGTTTCGTTTGAAAAGGAGTTCACTCAAAACAGCGTTCTCATGGGTATATTGGTATGCTGTCCTTCCAATATTATTTTTCCTATTGAAAAAGATTCGTATCTCAACGAGGTTCGTTATTATCACCTATCACAGCCGTTCTTCCACACATACGGTTTAAACGTGCACCTCCATTTTGCCTTAATTTCGGTAATTACTGGTTCTCTTCGCGAATTTGATAAAACGAAATATCAATATTAAGATTTTTTTTTTTTTATAATAGGGTGTCTCCCTAGTTGTAATTCCAAAGTTCGACTTGCCAACATTTTGTCGCGTAGTTCAAGATTATAAGGTTGACTACGCCCACCTCGTACCTCCAATACTGTTACTATTGGTTAAAAGTCCAGTTGTTAAAAAATATGATTTGTCAAGTTTACGAACGATAGTTAGCGGTGCTGCCCCCCTTAGCAAATCATTGATGAATGATTTAAATAAAATATACAAAGTTACTATCAGGGAAGGATATGGTAATTATGAATTTTGAGGAGAGGATTGACATTTTAAATATCATCTTGAATTATTATTTAATCCCTATTTAGGACTCACGGAAACATCGCCAATTGTTAGTTTTACTAGAAGTAATAATATTGTTAAAGGTATTTACGCACTAAAATTGTTAGCCAAAATTTGATTCTAATTTAAATAAAAATTATTTACTTGTTAAAAGGTTCTGTCGGAATTCTGTTATCAAACATTGAGGCAAAAATAGTTTCGGAAGATGGACAAGGCAATCAATTTTACCTTATGATGTATATACAAATTATTTTCGTTGTAATAATGTCTTCCTTGATTTAGAATTGGGGTATAATGAACCCGGAGAACTGTGCATTCGGGGTCCTAACGTAATGAAGGTTTGGATTCCAAGTTTTCGCGATTTCTTAGTCACGTATAAGTGTACACTAAATCATTTGATACTATTAATCTGTAGGGATATCTAAACAATAAAGATGCAACTGACATTGCATTTGACAAAGATGGATTTTTTCGTACGGGAGATGTCGCTACTATGGATGAACAAGGTGAAATATAATAAATTTTCATTAAAAAGATCAAATTATTCTGAATTTAATACATGATATTTGTTCTTTTATAGAAAACTTGTACATTGTCGATCGAGTCAAGGAGTTAATAAAATACAAGGTATGCGATAGTTTTTTCCTTATCAACATTCGATCCACCTTTTAATATCTTTCATATTAAACTAGGGTTTTCAAGTTCCTCCCGCAGAACTGGAAGAAATTTTGGTTTCATACCCAGCAGTGTCGGATGCCGCTGTAATTGGTGCTTACTGTGAAGCCGATGCAACCGAATACGCTTTGGCCTACGTTGTACTCCAAACCGACTACGAACAATCACCAGAATTAATTAATAAAATAAAAGGATATGTTTCTGACCGAGTGGCACCTCATAAAAGGTTAAAGGATGTGATATTTATTGATAGAATACCCAAAAGTGTTTCAGGAAAAATATTAAGAAGAGAATTGAGAGAAAAGGCTAGAGTTGAGTACGTGTTTTCCCCCAAAGAATAGAGTACTTTTTTTTTAGAAAAAAAAAGTGAAGGTGCGTTAGTTACTTGAATTAAGTATATTTTCCGAATAGGCACCTGATTCGGTAGAGTATGGTCCACTATATTTCATGTTTGAACTATTTAAGGAACTCCTGATTATATCTAGGGTCAAGCAATCTTCTTTTACATACATTAGCCTGTGTGTACATCAGTAGTTCAGTAGATGGTTAAAGTTATTTAAATTTAAATTATCATTTTATATAACCACCTGATTATTTTAAGATTGTGTAAAGGTTTTATATTTATTTTCAAATAATAAAGCTCCTCAGAATGATGTTTTGTTATAACTATAAAAGAAACATAAAGCAATTCACTTTCTTTACTGATAGATCTTACAAGCAATATACAAAAAGCAAGGATGAACTTGAAATGGGTCTTGCATAAATTCAAACTGAGAACAATATAATAATTAACCAATTTTTAGCAGAAGCAATATCATGGTCATCAGTTATAAGAGCAGAAATTCTAGTCATACTTATTGCAATCTTTACAATACCTGAAAATAAAAAAGCAACCATATATATAGATTGTAATACAGCTATCAAGATATAGAAGACAATCCAATCACAAAAGTTTATATCCATAAGGAAGTGGACTAAAACAATCAACTGGTTACTATGGAATTGAATCAAGGATGTAGTACAAAAGAAAAACCTTTGCCTCATACTTGAAAAGATTAAAGCCCATCAAAACAATGAGTTCAACAATATAGCAGTCAGGTTAGCAAAGCTGGACAGAAGAGAAAACTCTTTTATTTGATAATAAACACCTGATTTGGATCAAGTTCTTACAAAAGTAATCTAGAAAGAACATACTATTGATATCAGTATTAGAGATTTCCTTAAAAAATAAAACACAAAGAAAATAAGGTTATTCTGGACTGAGCAAAAATGTATCCAAGACTGATGAATATATTCTAGTAAAGAAATTGGTTAACAAATTTTCTGAAGACAATTCAATTTATACAATATCTTTTACACTTTCTTTATCACCAACAAGAAAAAGAGTTTTCTGATAAATCTAACCTATGATAATTTTCTATACTCTAAGTAATACAGAAAAGAAAATCAGACTTATATTCAAACATAATATATTCAATATGCAAGTCATAAGAGGAAACCTTGAAGTATCTCTTTAAATATCCCAAGACTCAGAATAAAAAAACAATTATATGGAACAAATCTCAAGATAAAATCCTTCAGTATATCAGAAAAACAAAAAACCTATTTAATGAAAACTAGACAGAAGTTAAAAGAGTAACAGGGAAATAGATTCAGGACATCAAACAATAGGATAAAAGCTTATATAACATAGTTTGTGGCTTTATATATAGAGATAAGATCAAGATCCTGGAAGAGCATTTTAAAGCTCTCAAGATCTCAATGGCAATAATATATGAGACTATTGATAAATATTGTAAAAAAATGAGAAAGATCTTCAAGAAGGAAATTTGAAATAAATACCGTAGCATTACTATACAATAGAAACAAAATTAAGAAATTACTAGTAAACTCAAAAAGTTTAGAATATTAGTGATATACCTAAAAGAATAGATCGAGTCCTTAAGAAAGTCAATCACTTCATTTTTTTTTTCTTTAAATATATAATATAAAATGAAAAAGATTTAAAATGAATAAAGTCCCAAGGCAATACAGTAGATATAACAAGTAATTAGATATCCAAAGGTTTTAAATAGTTTCATTTTTAATTATAGTTAAAACTTTAGTAGATCTATAGTAATAAGCTATAAGCAATGATCTATATAGCTAAAAGATAATCCAAACCACAAAGAAAATAAAATATTATCCCCTAAGTTGCATTTAGAGAAGATTAAACTTTGTAAATATATGAGTCAATATGTGAAAGCATAGAATATATAAATACTAAAATATATTTACAATAAAATGAACAAGCTATATTGGCCTGACTGCAAATTAAAAAAAAAAGAAATAATTTAATTTAGTTATAAATATTGCAAAAAAAAAATTAAATTGATATTATTAAAAAATTTTTTAAATAATTATTTATATATTATTTTAAAAATTTGATAAATTTATTTATTTATTTATTTTTAATTTATTATTAGATTAATAATGCTTGTCTTTATATAAATTAATAGAAATAATAACAAATTAAATAACTTTCACATATTAGTTTATCTGTTATTGAAATTTCTTTTTATATATACAACTTAGGAATAATATTTACTCTTTTTATAATTTTTGATAAATTTGTATATAAAATAATTATAAATTAAAAAATATATATATATTAAATTATAATTAAAATTTAAAGGTCAATAATATAGTAAAAATTTCCTAAAAAATTTCCTTTTTTGGCAATTTTCTTGGAAAAACCAGAAGCCAGTCACTACACAAGACAAAAGTCTTTTAAACAAGAGAGAAACAGCTCAACAAAAAGCTCAAGCCAGTTTACAAAACATCG